AGCAAAGGGAAACAAACACAGGAAGGAACACCAGGAAGAAAAGGGAAGACCTAGAAGAAGGACTCTCCTCCAAGACCCAGCCTAATGCCAGAGCTGCCAGGACCCCTCTGCACGACCGTGACGTGCAGCAGCTAGGAACAGAGAGACTGACCTTGCCTGGCCCACGGGGGAAGTCTGCCTGTCGGTACCAGGATTGGTGAGCGTGATGTGACACCGTGTGCTGAGCATGTGCATTCTGCTTGCTTGGGAATTCAATAAATAGAGGATATGGATATTACTGTGTGAGGCTCTTTCAGTGGCTCAAGATCCTGACGCCCTGTGCCCTGAGCCCTAGGAAGATGCGCCCGGAGCCCTAGGAATTGGGTGAGGGTGGGTGTGTAAATTCATAGGGTTGCACCTTGAGCCCTAGGAACTGGGTAACGGTGCGTGTGTGTCCCTGCAATGTGGAATCAGATAGAGACATTTGTGCAGGTAACAAATTTGGTGGAGAACGCGGGCAACCTAAGGGCTGTGGAAGAAAACAAGCCTTCACTCTGCATTGTGTTTAAGCAACAAGTAGCCAGAGGCAGTTTTATTACGAGCTGCAGCAAGGGAAAAACTGGTTCGGACGAGGCAGATCTTCGAATACAAGCAATTCTGAAGCAGTTTCTATACTGTCGATTACATATAATAACAATAACAATTAGTCTCCTTCCCATGACAAACACCAATGGCTAACAGTTATTTAGTTCCACCCAAATGCTCCTTATCTCAAGGTCCCTGCCAGAGTCAGCGTTCTACCCTTATCTCCGTATGGAGGCGAGAGGCGAAGGCAGCGTCTAATTACAGATCTCGCGTTGTCAGGCCACAGACTTAGCCTGACTCTTGCTCTCTTGTTAACAAGACCAAGATGGCTGCACACAAATTCCCTTATTCCCTTTTCCTGCCTCCACAGGGCGTTTGTACCAAATTCTTCCAGCCTAACACAGGAATCGCAGAGGGCTTGTGGCTTGTGTCGAAGGGTCACCGCCTGCCTGGCAGAATGTTCCCCCTGAAGCAACAGGAGAGAAAGGAAATCAAGCAAAGGGACCAGGAGGGGTGGGTGTTAGCTGAGGAGCCCCCTCTCCTTGCTGAATGGGTAGTGGAACAGGGTCCACAGAATGACAAGATTCGGTCCAGGGGAGGGACGCCCTGGGTTCTGCCTGTGAGGGGTTTGGCACGGTCTGTAAGTGCAGGAAACGAAAGCCAAAGCAAAGGGCTGTGAAAGCGACAGCAGCCTGGGCATTGTGGAATCCGGCCACCAATCACTCAGAAGTGCCCGTGCAGCCTGTGCATTACAGAATGCAACTGCCCTGCCAGCGAAAACGGGCAGCTAAAGCTGACAGTGGGAAGCCTGAACAGGGAGCTCTCTGCACTGCAAATGAAGCAGGGGGATGTGCAGGCGGCTGTCAGCGTACCTGGAGTTAAAGCAGGATATTGTTCGAGCAGTGACAGTTTGGCGAGACACACACAGACAGGCAGGGTAAGGGAGTAAGGACAGGAGAGTGGCGCCTGGACAGGCAGTAACTTCTGCCGACAACGAACCGAGGGGAGCCAGGGGAGAAGGGGCCGGGTGCTCAGTAGCATGGGAAAGGAAGAGGACAGAGAGGTGCAATGAGCGGCAGAGGAGCAAGAGGAAGAAATGGGGATCAGGTGGAGAACAAGCCATTGGGCTGAGGGTGCAAGAGCTGCACTTAGAGCGGGGATGTGGAAGAAACTCATGGTGGCTGGGGAGCCAAAGGATGGGACTCCCACAAGTGAAATACTGCAGAGGGCTGCCTAGCTAGCGAGGCAAAGGGAAGTGACTGCGGGGGCTCCTGTGAATCCCATACCAGACCCCGAACCATCAGCACTTCCCCATTAGGAGTGCCCGCCTCCCTGGACTCCCCCTAAGGCTGGGGCTCGACTTCAGGCTGACAGATGGGGGCATCCCATTGTCGGGATGATGATGGGGCGGGCGGGGAACAGACACACCCCACTGTGCTCATCGACACTAGAGCATCAGTCTGGGTGCTGGGGGAGCTCTGGTTCCCAGGGATTCTGTGGACACAGAACAGTCATCCCAGCTGGTGTCATGTCCAGGGGAGACAACAAAGCCTCTATCACGTATAAATTGGAGTGTGGGAAAATGGATGCTCAGGTTTAAAGTGGAGGATCTGACCCTCCTGCGCAGCGACAATACAAATATCCCCAGGCCATGTTTCAATGTGCGACCCATGACGATTAACATCTGTGTGTGAGGATCCAAATGTACAAGAAAGGGACGAATGTTTCCATGTAAAAGACAAAGGAACCCCAAGATGTACGTTTGCCATATTCACTGAACAAACGTCAGCCGTTGTATCTGCAGGAGAGGGATGTGTGTGTGTGAGAAGTCATTGTGCACTCGCAGTCGTGTATGATACGAAGGGTATTTTATGCCTTATTTAGTTACTAGATGTTTTTGTTACATTACAAAGATTAAGAGTTGTGATTTTGAATACTACGTATCTGTCTGGACTGTAAATTATCTGAAGTTTAAATCACAACTGTTTCATGATGTAACACCTGTAACCTTAGGTATGACTATGACTCTGATAAGAAAACGATTCATCCATCCTCTGTTACATTCACATTTCCAGCATATCGCACAGACAGGAGAACAAATACTAAACTGGGGTCCTAGAAGGAGACCAGCTAAAGAAGGGCAAAAGGGAATCGAGCACAGAAAGGAAGACCAAGAAGAAGGGGGAAGCTGCCAGGACCAGACCAGAGCTGCCAGGACCCCTCTGCACGACCATGAGGTGCAGCAGGTAGGAAGCAGAGAGACTGATCTTCCTTGGCCAACAGGGGAAGCCTGCCTGTCGGTATCAGGATTGGTGAGTGTGACGCTGTGCGCTTAGCAGGTGTATTCTGCTTGCCTGGGATTTGTCAATAAATAGAGGATAAGGATATTACTGGGAGAGGCTCTTTTGATGACTCAAGTTCCTGCAAACCCGCAGGAAATTCCACCCTGAACCCTAGGAATTGGGTGAGGGTGGGTGTGTAAATTCACAGGGGTGCACCTTGAGCCCTAGGAAGTGGGTGAGGGTGGGTGTGTAAATTCACAGGGGTGCACCTTGAGCCCTAGGAAGTGGGTGAGGGTGGGTGTGTAAATTCACAGGGGTGCACCTTGAGCCCTAGGAAGTGGGTGAGGGTGGGTGTGTAAATTCACAGGGGTGCACCTTGAGCCCTAGGAAGTGGGTGAGGGTGGGTGTGTAAATTCACAGGGGTGCACCTTGAGCCCTAGGAAGTGGGTGAGGGTGGGTGTGTAAATTCACAGGGGTGCACCTTGAGCCCTAGGAAGTGGGTGAGGGTGGGTGTGTAAATTCACAGGGGTGCACCTTGAGCCCTAGGAAGTGGGTGAGGGTGGGTGTGTAAATTCACAGGGGTGCACCTTGAGCCCTAGGAAGTGGGTGAGGGTGGGTGTGTAAATTCACAGGGGTGCACCTTGAGCCCTAGGAAGTGGGTGAGGGTGGGTGTGTAAATTCACAGGGGTGCACCTTGAGCCCTAGGAAGTGGGTGAGGGTGGGTGTGTAAATTCACAGGGGTGCACCTTGAGCCCTAGGAAGTGGGTGAGGGTGGGTGTGTAAATTCACAGGGGTGCACCTTGAGCCCTAGGAAGTGGGTGAGGGTGGGTGTGTAAATTCACAGGGGTGCACCTTGAGCCCTAGGAAGTGGGTGAGGGTGGGTGTGTAAATTCACAGGGGTGCACCTTGAGCCCTAGGAAGTGGGTGAGGGTGGGTGTGTAAATTCACAGGGGTGCACCTTGAGCCCTAGGAAGTGGGTGAGGGTGGGTGTGTAAATTCACAGGGGTGCACCTTGAGCCCTAGGAAGTGGGTGAAGGTGGGTGTCCCTGCCGTGCGGAAGGGACAGAGCCATTTGTGGGGGTCACACCCTGACCTGAGGAATTTCAGCCGGCTGATAACTACGCCTTGTAGTGAAAACAAACAAAACCGGAGGGTGTGGACAGGTCATTGAGAACTGAATGGAAGGTGAATGTGTTTCAGTCATGCAACCAGACATCGCCCGCTGGGACTCACCTCCGAAGGGGCACCTGGGGGAGCCAATTTCAGTGACACTATCTCCTCTGCACCCACCTGCCCCACACTGGGGAAGCAGCAGCCCCTCTTCCCCCCCCCCCCCCTCCAACAAAATGAGAAAAACTTCTAATCAAGCCAGGGAAGCAGGCGGGCAAGACCATCTGCTCACGGGGGGACATTTAAAAGTCTCCCCCAACAGCTCAAAGTGTTCTACCCCCTCCCGAGCCAGTGGCCCACCCTCCTCAGTTCCCTGGGGGGCTCTTGGGGAAAAGGGGGAAAAGAGGGGGAGGGGTGACCCACACCTGCTCCGCACCAGCACACACCCAGGTAGCAGGGTGGCTCCCAATCCCAGCCCGCACAGGGGGAAGCTGTGCAGACAGACACAATCTTCAGTCCCCACCAAACCCAGCTGCCCCACCCTGTCCCCACAGGGCTTCTAGGGGGCCTCTGTCCCAGGGAGAAGGGGGAGCCCTGCCCCGGGCACCCTCCCTGCTGCTGCCCCCCCCGGAGCCGAGGGGTCGCCTGGCACAAGGAGGTGCCTCTGTCCCCCCTGCGCTCGGCTGAGCTGGCTGCGGGCTCCCTCCTATGGAGCTGGCCGGCCCCAGGGACGGTCACATGAGATATTCCAATGGGCCCTCGGCCCATGGCCCTGGCAGACGCCCTGCGTGCTCGGGACCCCGGCTGGCCGGGCGGCGCAGACACCGCTCGGGGATGCCAAGGTGCTGGTGGGGCTGGGAAAAGCCTCCTTTGTGCGCTGGGTGGCGGGTGGGTTTGGGGATGTTGGGGGCTGGCGTCGGGCTGAGGGAGTCGGGAGGAACTCGGTGTTCTGGAGACTGGAGTGGAGGGGAACGTGCCGGATTTGCTACAAATCTACTGGAGAAAAAGTGAAAGTAGCTCCAAGAGAAATGACTTGAGCAAAGGAGAAATACCGAAGAAATGTCCTAGAGCAGGGTAACCGAGTGTTTCTACTCCGTCACTTTCCCCTCTGCTTGGCTGCCCCCACCCTTTGCTGTGTGCTTCTCCCTCCCCAACTCCCACATCCTTCCCTCCTTCCTACCTCCTCCTGGCAGTGCCTTTGAGAGAGCAGGGCCACCCCCCCCCACTCCCCCTCCACACAGCCTGACTTCCAGGAAACTAGGACACCACAAGCCGAGTTTCACTTTTGCTTCTCAGAACTGACCGGAGAGAAGAGAAGACGCGTGGCAGGTAAAAGGGGACAGTGGGGAGGGTGTTTGCCCCACTCTAGCCCGTCCCTCCCCTGGGGGCAGGTTTCCCCCCACCCCCAGGCTATCCCCCAGGGCAGGTCTGTGCCCCCAGTGCATCCCTTTAGGAAATGCTTGTCCCCGCAGCCTATTCCCCAGGTTGCAGGATGAGCTACTGTGGGTGATGCCCCCTCTGGGGGGAGGATCAGCTCCCCCATTTGCTCCCCATTGCCCCCTCCCCCCCTCCCACACACACACACTGTGCTAGGGCAGTGGCCAGTCACAAGACAGCTCCTGGCTCTCGTTGGAGTGGAAATTCCCTGCCATGCGGGGGGGTGCTGGGAGGGAGACTGGGGCTGGTTCCTGCCGGGTTGGGGACTTTGGACTTCCCCCTCTGCCCAGCCGACAAACACGCAGGAGGCGGGGGCCGGACACCCCCAGAACCCCCCACGGGAAAGAGAAAGAATCACCAGGCAGGGGAAAGGGGCTGTCTGGGTCCCCCTGTCCCCTGCCTGCCTGTGTGGGACTCCCCCAGCCCCAAACCTCCCACCCCTGGCTGCCTTACGGAGGGGTGGGGGCTGAAGCGCCGCACCCCCCATGATTGATACAGGGACGCGCTGGCTGCTCCCCTTCAGGGCACAGAGGAAAGTGCCCAGTTTGCTGCGTCCCTCACTCTGGCTGGGCGGGTGCAGGGGGCAGACAGACCTGGAATCTGCCCCAGCCAGGGGACATGCCCCCCTCCCCGGCTGTGCCTGCTGGAGCTGCAGGGGCCATGGAGAGGCGCTTCCCACCTGGCCCAAGGTGCAGCAGTGAGGCAGGGCTGAGGCTGTCCCCTCTCCCCAGGGCATCCTGCAAACTGACCCTCCCCCCAGCCTGCCCCAGAGCAACGACTCAACTGCAGCCTGGCCACTGTCACTGGACATCCCCAAACCAAACATCCCCTGAGCAAGGGGCCGGAGCGACGCCGGGAAACCTGCTGATTCCCTCCCCGGCGCATAAGGCGAGCTGGGAAGCTCTCACATGGCCCCGTGCTCAACGTGGAGGCTGGACACGAGGGCAGGGTTTGCCCGGGAGGGGAGTGACCGTGGGAGCCACGTGCCCAGCAGTGCGGGGGATTCTCTGTGCAGGGGGCTGTTTCTAGGAGTCCTGCTCTCGTCCACACAGGAATTCCCGGGGGCCGTTCTCTGGCTGGTTGGCTGGCACCGCGTTGGTCCCTCTGGAATCTGCCTGTCCCCACCATGGCTTCTGGGAACCCAGCTTCTCCCTCTGGTGCCGCCCATGGGACTGGATCACGAGGCGGGCAGGTAAACTGAGTCACACAGCTTGTCCTCTGAAATATTCCCCTGTTCTCTTTCTCACCACCAGCCTCCTGCTGTCAGGAAGGGGCCCAGCTGGGCCGAGATCAGCCGCCCTCCAGCCGAGCCCTTCCGCTGCTCAGCTGGTCGGTTCTCCCCACTCAGCGGACAGGAGGGATGGAGCGACTCCGGGAGGACGTCACCTGCTCCATCTGCCTGGACGTCTTGGAGGACCCCGTCTCCATCGAGTGCGGCCACAACTTCTGCCGGGGCTGCCTCACCCCTCACTGGCACGGGGACTCAGCCCAGGCACCGTGCTGCCCCGAGTGCCGCCGGCCCTGCGCCAGGGACAGGATGATCCCAGACACGAGGCTGAGAGCCCTGGTGGAGAAAATCACGGAGCCCCCGCAGGAGGCGATAGAGCTGGTTAGACCAGATAGTCCATAGGAGGGAAAGGGGCCGGGCTCCTGCTGGCCCCCGGACAGGGATGGGCTGGATCTAGGGGTGGGGAATGGGACACAGGGCCCTTCATCTCTAGGGGGTGCTGGCTCTGATGTGGGGGGCAGGGGCCTGGCTGGCTCTGCGGTGGGGTCCCAGCTCTGACCCTGCTCTCTCCCTGCAGCAGGGGCCAGGGGCTCAGCAGGGCCCGGGGGCTGAGCTGGAGCCAGGGCGCCCAGTGCAGCTGGTGCATCTGGGCGAGGGCACAGACCCCGCCCTCCTAAGCCACAGCCCCGCCCTCTGCACCACGGACCCCCCCCTCCTCAGCCAGAGCCCCACCCCTTGTTCCACAGACCCCGCCCTTCCCAGACAGGGTTGGCCCTCCACTGTCTTTTCACCCCGGGTCCCACTCCCTTCACCCCAGGCCGAGGGTGGCCAAATCTGCCATTTTTGGTCACCACAGAAACCTGGCCGTGTCCGGTCAGTACAGCCGACCTGACCATAAATGTCCAGGTGGCTGCAGTAACCGGCCTCTGCAACTGGACGGATCCTGCTGTGCCCCGAACCCGCCCCTCCCTGTGCCCTGCCGTGCCCCCAC